TTATATCTTGAGACAGAATTTACTTTTCTAGCCAGAATTTCTCTCAGAGTAGTAGAATATTCTGTAATATCAGGTGAAACCCCCATGTAACCCCTGTTGGTCAAGGCTGCCACTTGAGGTTTTATTACACAAAGTGTCTTCATATTGCTAAAGATTATGTTTTGTTTAGTTTATTCGGCGTAGCTGTATTAAAATGGTTTTTGACCTAGATTTGTAACAAATGAAATTGTTAGTTACAAAATCTTCAGCTAAAAGAGGGTGTTTTTTATTGGTGGAAAGACTGGCTGTTATGAAATTTAGGGACAAATTCGTAATCTTTAGTTTACTTGTGTCTAAGAATAAAGTTGTATTAAAAATATTTATACAATCGTAAACTAAATATCACAACGTTATGACCAAAACAAAGATATATCAAAATACAAAAATATACAATACATATGATTTCATGTACAATTTATTTTGTTGATAATATTAACAACAAACCCAACTTTTTGTTTTTCAGCCTTTACTTAAACATTCGATTACTACTCACTCGTACTTTATTTGCCGTAGCTTTTCTGTTTGCTATGAAAATGAACGATATTTTTGATCAACAAAAGATTCTCCAGAGCTGATATGAATTGCGAAAATTAATATATTTAAAATGCAACATTATCATAAAGAATCGCAAAACTTTAAGTATTATTTTTTGTGCGTAATAATAACAAATTAATTTATTCATAGTTATTCGGCGTTTGTTTACACCGGTAGGTAAATTTACCGAAATACACCCCAATTGACTACCTCAATCTGAAACTGTCTCACTTGATAATCAGTGTCATTGATGGGTTATACAAAATTGAGTTTAGTACTTATTATAAGATAAATAGATATATTTTCTGTATATATGGAACAACATTTATATTTTACATTCCACATTTAAAGTACATTGTTAAATATAACCTGTGTAGGTGTACGACACGTAGCCATGCCAGTAGGCTTAACTAGTACCTCCACCTCATACCCCTACAGTACTGGCCACGCGAAACCCGCAAAAGTCGCGTTATGCCGCGAGTGTAGTCTATGTCGCGACGGGACACTACGCGGTAAAACATCGCCGCGTGCAAGTTCGCCGAATTTCACGGCGGTTCACGAAAAATCGCCGCGATTTATCGCCGTAATTTACGGCGAATCTTCAGCAATAATTGTATTAGAAAGTACTACTTGGTCATTCCGGTGGTCTTTAATTTCTAAAACTTTAAAACAATCTTGTAAATGTCATGTATATTTATAAATATTTAGCATTTGAACATGTACAGCGTATACATTTTGTATACTAAAACAAAGCAATCAGGTGCTGGTGAAAATTAGTTAACAATAAAACGAGATTGAAATTACAAAAGGTAATTGGTACTACATCAAAGAACGCAGGATAACAAATTGTCCAATTGTTATTTTGATAATAATACAAATGTAATTAAAATCCATTGTTTACTTTCGCACATATTCTATTTTTAGAACAATGCAAAGCGACATTTAGCACGCCACCGATTCACAGGTGTAACTGATTATTACGTCTTATACGCTAATTATGATTGTTGAAAATTGTAAATTGTAGCAGCGGGGATTCTGTCATAAAATTGACCGAAAAAATAAATTTTTGGAAGCTGTGGTCCTTTCATATGCATTAATGTTTTGATAGCAGACACAAGTATTGCACAATATCTTCAAGATCATAAAAATGTAAATAAAATATCACAATCAAAATGCACTTACGATTAATAATATGTCAATAATTGACACAATCAATATCCAACATTTTTTTTACTTGAGCAATAATTAAACATGTGTAATCATTCCTTGACAAAAAGAAATGACAGTTTTTTTCTGATATATAAAAAAGAGGTGGAAGTCAATCGAGTGTCGGCATTTCTTTGATGATTCGGCAACAACTACAGGTGTGTAAACATCAAAGATTCACAGATTCTTCAGAAGAGCCGACCAGTCATTTGTCAGAGGTCATTTCGTGTGTAAATTTTGTATTTATTTTTTAACAATGGAAACATAATATTCCTTTTATTTATGGATGCTTCTTTTTGCGCGAGTGTTTTTGTGTCTTTTAGCGCTATGGAATTTCAACAATCGGCGATAATTTTCGGTAACTAACAATTAAATATTTTAACATTTTTAAAACAGGGGTGCAAATATCCGCCATTCAGAAATTATAGGAGACAAATCTTGCGTGTGTTATTTTATACAGACGTGTAATAAATTGAGTAATGATCACCCTAGAGAACGAAATGTCCCGGTGATCCACTATAACTCTTCCAGGTCGTACGGGAATATTTACGCAGGATTAGTTTATCACATCGGTAATTTGACCATGCTTGAATTTATATCTTATGTAACGTTTTCAATAATGGGATACATTTAGAAATGAACAAGTTAATGTCGTATCAATTATGTATCTTTTTATGTAACTAAATATCTTTTTACACATATATTATATTTATATCTCTAATTTATACTCAATATGTATCCCCCCTAAAAAAATAGTTTTACACGTGTACATGTACACTATTTACCTGCCGATGGAGCCGCATACTTGTACTGCGTCGCATTTATACATTGAATTTGAGGTCATGATTCCCGCCATTCACGGAAAGTTTTTAACGGTGTTATTTGATTTCGCCGTGGTTATTTATATTTGCTGTTGGCATCAAAGATAAATAGAGAAAGGGCATTTTAGCAAATAACAAGATTTTCTTGATACAACTTCATGTAGATCTACTAATTAATTTTCGTACTTGTACATGTATATCTGGTTTCAAGTTCACAGAGTACAATAGATCTACATTTATTATACAAATGAATCCATGTATTATTCCCCGCGAATCACGGCAAATGTTCACGGCAAAATCGCCGCGAGTTGAATTCGCGGCAATTGTCTCAAGTTGCCGCGAATTCGCTCGCGTTTTAAAGCATGAGAGTTCGCCGCGAATACGCGAATTGTGCGGGTTTCGCGTGTCCAGTACTGTAGTATATACAAAATACTAGTCAAGCTGTGCAATTTTTAATAGAAATCCTTTTTTTTAATAAAATACATAAGTATAACTTTTACTAGTAAGGTTATGTTTAACTTTTGATTTAAGTCTTCAATTATTCATTTTCATTGCCAGAAATAGATAAGAATTAAGGCATTAATATAATATTAATAATAGTATAGTTCAGAGTTGATATGTTCCATTGATTGTTTATTACAGTTTGTATTCTTTCATAAATAAAAGATATAAACAACAAAAGATTTTGGTGTTATTATCATGACCTAATAATTGCAGCATTTTATGCACAGAAGTGCTTTAACAAAATGAAGGTCAGATACATATTTAAGTGAATATTATTTAACGATAAAATTCAAGTTGTCAGCTGATTGTGGCCTTTGCAGTCTCTAAATTTGGTAGTGTGATTGGTTATTATCTGGTATTGACTTTGAAACCAGTAGTCAAAAGTCACGGTGACAAAAAAGGCTTCTAGCATCTATAATAACATGACTAATTTGTTGACATTATAGGAGCATACATGTTACAGCTAAGTTTAGACAACTGTCATAGATTATACTAGTAACCACCAAATATATTTCAATTTAGACATTTATATTGTTATAAAGTATAAATATCATTAATTTTGAAAATATTCTAAAGCTATGAGACATTTTGCACTGAATTTACGCCGATTATCTTTTTTAAAGATATTTCTTGTTTTTCTAATGATAAGTTAACAAGTTAGTTGTTGTGAAGAGCAATCATGTAGAGACTTGGAATTCTCAGATTTAGGGGCCAAAGAGGAATTATGATGGAATTATAATCAAAACCAGAGGTAAGATTTTGCAATGTTTTCTTTGAAATTTTTCCACTATAGATAAAAGAATTTTTTTATACATCTTTTAATAGTCTATGTTTGTCTTGGGGCTGAAATGACTCAGAAATCAAATAAACCACATATAATGCCACTGTAAATAATGTTATTTTGTTTTATTTCAATAAAATCAATTTAACTTACTTACTATTAATTTGTTATGTTAAAAAATACTGCTAAAAAAAGGAAAGAAATGTAGGAAAGTCATATTGGCAATGGATATATATATGTTTTTACAGACTAAATATTGAATTGATTTTCAAATTTCATTTTTGTCCAGGCCATTTTCCTAAACTATATTGTTCACAAGGCGACACATCCGACTCACGGAGTTCTAATTTAAAGAATTTAAAGTATCTCATTTTTCATTGAAAAAAAATAACAGAAATAATATATAAGTAATTGTATGTTATTATGTATCGTACTCAACAGTAAAAAGAAAAATATAATTCAGAAGTAAAAACAAGAATTCATTTAAGTATGTATAAGTTATCTGTCCTTGAATTGACCTCAAAGAAGTAGAAAATTCTGATTCAGGGGCAGATAACTCAAAAACGAGAATGGTGACCCCAATTTTTTTTCGCTTAAAATGTTTCTGTTATCATATTCTTACAACATGCCAAGTTTAAAGAAATTCTATTGAATAGTTTTAATTTTGCCTATATGTCTATATGAAAACTCCTGAAAACGTCCTTAATATATGTGTTGTAAAGTGAAAATAATTATAGAAATTGTAAGATTTATGTAGGTGTCTTTAAAGTGCCTTGTATCAGAAGCACCCTGCTCTTTTTAGTTTCTAGCTGGAACACTGTGTACACTATCTTTAGTGAGCATAGACTTGCACATATTGTTAAACATTTATCCCTTTTTTTTGGGGGGGGGGGGGGGGGGGGGGGGGGGGGGGGGGGGGGGGGGGGGGGGGGGGGGGGGGGGCCGGAGTTGTGGAACTTTTTCACAGTAAAATTTCTTAAATTCATATTGCCTGGAATGTCATTTGAGACTGCAGGCTTCGTAGCCTAATACCATCTTCCTAGCCACTTCCTGTCAGAAAAATAATATAACAGGTTTTGAAGATTCTAATCCTGTATTTATTTTTTAACAGACCAGCCATGTCTGAGAGAAGGATAGATAAGAATGACAGCTTCAAACGAACAAATGATGGAAAGTTCTTGTGTCTTGCTTGTAGCAAAATTTTGTCCTCAAAGGAAAGAGTCTTGCAGCACCTTCATTTGCTACATAGTTATAGTAAGTTCTAACAATATTGTTTCATTTAATATTGATAAAGTTTACTAGTATAATCAAGCCTTTTAAGCTCAACTTTTTTTTTCAAAGAAAAAGAATAGAGGTATTGCCACAGTCAGGTCGGCCTTTGCTTGTTCTTGTGTCGCCTTCTAAAAGGCGACAAATGGAGTTACTTTTGTCGGCGGCGTCCCCTTAGGCTTGTCCGGAGCAATAACTCAGTCACTATAAGTCAGATTGACTCCAAACTTGGTATGCTTGCTTCTTTCATGAGCCAAAGTGCAGTGTGCAAGAATCCTTATTCTGCACTTCTTATTTTTTGAGTTATTGCCTTTGTTAATTTTTATACTTTATTTTTGTCCAGCCCATTTCTCCTAAACTATGAAAGCTATGGACTTGAAACTTCATAGGATGATAGATCTCATTGAGAAGAAGTGCAGTGCACAAAACCGGTACTCTGTATTTCATGATTTTTTAATTATTGCCCTTTGTTAATTTTCATACTTTATTTTTGTCCGGGCCAATTCTCCTACACTTTAAAAGCTATTGACTTGAAACTTCATAGGATGATGGATCTCGTTTAGAAGAAGTGCAGTGCACAAGAACTTGTACTCTTCACTTCATGATTTTTGAGTTTTTGTCCTTTATTAATTTTTATACTTAATAGGCTTGTCCAGAGCATAACTTGGTCACTATAAGTTTGATTGACTCAAAATTTGGTATGCAAGCTTTTTTCATTGACCACAAGAATTGTAACTCTGTACCTATTTTTTTTTAGTTATTGTTCTTTGTTAATTTTCATACTTTATTTCTGTCCAAGTTATTTCTCCAATATTAAAAAACCTGTGGACTTGAAACTTTATAGGATGATAGATCTCATTGAGAACTGGTACTCTTGAAATTAATGTTTTTTTTTCAGTTATTGCCCCTTATCAATTTTCATACTTTATTCTTGTCCGAGATCTAACTCCTACAATTTGAGAGCTATGGACTAAAAACTTCATAGGAGGAAATATCTCAATGAGAAGAATGTAATGCACAAGAAATGGAAATCAGATTTCTCGCTTGTACATGTACATTGCAAGAGCAGTGTTTATAAATTACCTATATTTAAGGAGAAAATTATACTGTTGCAAAGCGACACATTTGACTTGCGGAGTTCAAGTTAGCTATAAGTGGCTGTAACATGGTCATTTATGAATGGCTTGTCTTCATACTTGGACACAATAGCCTTAAAGTAGACCAAGGTAAAAGTGATCTTGTCTCACAAGGGCCTTGACATTCAAGGTCAAAATGTGGTATTTTGCTGGATTTTTGTTGACTGTCAAGGTCATGTTATTGAATTTTGCTACATATGGTGTAACTTTGTTATTAATGGACAAATTTGATTGATACTTGGACAAAACAATTCTTACAAAATTGACATGTTGCATAATTTATATTTCACCTTTACCTAAAAATGACCTTGACCATCAATGTCATATTATTTAATTTTGCTAAAAATATAAAATTGATGTAACTTTGTAATTAATTGATGGGTTTAAATGATACTAGGACAGAACAACACTGTGTCACATATGATATGACAATTGCGACATGTTGGCCTTGAAATGATCTTGACTGTCAAGGTCATGTTATTGAATTTAGCTAAAAATGGTGTAACTTTGTTGATATTAATGGACAGATTTGATTGATACTTGGACAAAACAACACTGATGACAAATGTGACATGTTGACCTTGAAAAAGTTGAATTGACCTTGACCGTAAAAGTATGAATTTATTTGGTGGTAACTTGTAGCGAAGTCTTGTTTTAGTATTGCCACAGTGACACTATTAAAGCATTGTTAGCCCTTGAACATAGACAAAATCTGTTTATAGTAGTTATTTGTGGGGGTATTAAAAACCTTCAATGATAGCTCTAGTTGTTTATGCAGAAGACTTTGAGTAATTATACTAATAAAAGGCAATTTTTATTTATAGGTCCTCTGAAACCAGTGAAGAAATTGTATAAGTATGACAGCTCTGTGAAAATTCCTAGAAGAACTTTAATGAGGCACAGATGGTCTGATTCTGTACAGACTGATGGTGCTGGCGATGCATTACTCAGACCTGAAAAAGCCATGGAGGTGTCAGGATTGAGTGGGGTTGAATTATTGGATGAAGTCAACAGTGCATCTGGTAGCAGTGAATGTTGTTCTGCAGCAGTATCAACTTTCCAAGAACACGAGTCTTCATGCTTTGAGAACAGCATTGAATGTAAAACAACTGGTAGCTTTCAAAATGTAAATGCCATTGAACACTCTGATTCAGAAAGTGACTTGTCAGATTCCATTGAGTTGTCAGAAAGCCATATTGATTCATCTTCAAGTGACACTTTGAGTGACATTGTTGTTAGCGATGTTGAAACTGAAAACAATGCAGATGGCAAACAAGTTAATAATGACACTGAACTATTCTCATTTGGAATTGCTGCATATACACGTCGTTATAATTGTTCAAAAGTGTCATCTGAGGCATTGTTAAGCCTAATTAAAGCCCTTAACCCAGACTCTGAAGTGCTGAATGACTTAACATACAAGAAGATATATGCAGAAGTTTGCCATACAGCATATAAGGTCGTCCATTACTGTGAATCCTGTCTACAAAGTTACCCAGATGATCCTGATGCTTTTCAGTGTTCTACAGATATGTGTCAAGGGCTTAGATATATTGGTGATTTGACCCAACAGCTAGAGAAGAAGCATAAACCACGCACTTCCTTCATCATTTGTGACATTGGTTTTCAGCTGAAACTTTTACTAGAAAGAGAAGGTGTATTGGAAGAAGTTTTAGGAAATAAAGAGAAAGCTAAACAAAAGAGTTCCATTATGTCAGATATATACCAAGGAATAGCATATAAGGACTTGTATGAAAATGGCAATTTCTTGTCATATCCTTACAACGTAAGTGGAATTCTAAACACTGATGGAATACCACTTTATAATTCCAGCAAAGTGAAGCTTTGGCCAGTGTTTATCGCGATTAATGAACTGTCAGTTTCTCACAGATTTTGTAGAGGAAATACACTGTTAGCTGCTATTTGGCAAGGAAACTCAAGTCCCCCCTTCTTGGAATACTTTAAGTCAGTTGGAAATGATCTAAAAAATCTGTATGACAGGGGTTTAAACATTGTTAGCAAAGATGGTGAAAAAAATGTGAAATTATGTGTCTGTCTTGCTACTATGGATTTACAGGCCAAAGCATATGCTACAGGAATGACCATGCACAATGGTGCTTATGGATGCGTAACTTGTGAAGAGCCAGGTGAGACAAGGGAGAGGCCACAGAAAGTCATATCCATATAGATCTGCCACCAAGGGCATATTTGACCCCAGTTTTTTATGTAAATAAAATAAGTAAAAATAATAAAATTATAAAATGACAAAAAGAAAATGTAAATAATAATAATATTTTCATGTATGAATGTGAGTGTGTATGTAATCTATTATAATGTTTTATGATAAATGCTTTATTTTCATATTTAGTGTAATGTTTTGAAATCATAATCATATTGTTAATTAACCTACTGTTTAGGTGTAAAAAGCCATAAGGCATATTATTAGTAAAGTTTATCTTAATACTTAAATATCACATATGTCAGTCTTTTGACACTTGAGAAGATTATTTTCACTTTTAGAAATCTTTTACTCTTATCAACACCTTTTGGTTTAGGTGCTATTTATTTATAATACTTTGTAGCTTTTAGCAATTAATGCTATTAGGAATTATGTAACAATACAGGATATGTTTTATACCCTTTTTCATAAGATAATTTTTATCCAGATTAAGCATCATGTAATACTTTTCTATTTTTCATTGGTTAATGTTTTTTATATTTTTCTATTGGTCAATGTATTTCAATTTTCATTGGTTATTCAATTAATTATTTAAAATTAATAATACTGGAGAATATTATATATAAAGATAAAAAAATAAGTTAAAAAAGAATTAAGAATGGAGAATTAAGTTATTAGAATTAGAACAAGTTAAGAAAAAAAGAATTGAAATTTTAGGAACAGACTAGGAATCAGAATTAATGTAAAAGTGTGTTAAAAGTATCTTGGAAACCCTTTTTGAAAGAAACATTGTGGACTTAATAATTTTATGAAATGAACTTTAAGAACTTTGTATGGAATATAATATTTAAACTTGAAATAAAGAACATCAATAAATGAATAAGTAATTAGGTAACATTTTGTTCATCTTCATTTCATCAA